AGGGAGGAAGGGAGGGAGGGAGGGAGGGAAGGAGAGAGACAGAGACAGACAGACAACTGTCCAGTCTGGTGTCTGATTCAAAGCCTGCCTTCATCAGATCGTGCTGTATCGGGAGCAGGAAGTCCTGGACTGTGACTGTGACATGGCCTCTGTCCACCACCTGTTGTCCCAGATCCCTCAGGACCTGCCCTATGAGACGCTCATCAGCAGAGCAGGAGACCTCTTTGTTCAGTTTCCCCCTTCTGAACTTGCAAGGGAGGCGGCTGCTCAGCAGGAGGCTGAGAGGTGAGGTGGGCGAGCCGCTGCTGCTGCTGCAGTGGGGCAGTTGGAAGTGAGGCCGTCCTGGAGAGTCAGCTTGTCTGGAGGGTATGGGGCTCCATGATGCCGCAGAGTCTTCCCTGCAGGCCATGTAGATCTTTACCACAAGAGCATGCTGAGCAGTGGCCTGCTTGGGGTCTTCTGCTCCCTGTGCTACCTTCTGCTTCCTTCCACAGAACGGCAGCCTCTACTTTCAAAGACTTTGAGCTGGCATCGACTCAGCAGAGGCCAGATATGGTGCTGCGGCAGCGATTTCGGGGACTTCTGAGGCCCGAGGCTCGAACAAAAGACGTCCTGACCAAACCAAGGACCAACCGCTTTGTGAAACTGGCAGTGATGGGGCTAACGGTGGCCCTTGGAGCAGCAGCACTGGCAGTGGTGAAGAGTGCCCTGGAGTGGGCCCCCAAGTTCCAGCTGCAGCTATTCCCCTAAAGTCATCCAGCAGCCACTTCCTCACCCAGGGCACCGAGCTCTCCCCATTTCCAGAAAGAGGGTGAAGTTACTGTGATTAAAGGGTTTCTGTCAGGGGTGTCCTGTCTGCCACCCTTGGCAGCTTGTCTTTTGGCTTTGGTGGCTAGTGACATCGACCGGGCTTACCAAGCCTGAGTGCTCTCCGCACCTCTCCTCCTGTTGGAAGTGGCTCTTGTAGCACCTGGCTACCCAACTCACTGCCTAGAAAGTTGGGCTCAGAAACGCCCTCCTTACAGCACCACGTGTCTTGAGTATCTTTAGACAAAGCAGGCAGGATGGTCCAGACTTGGAATGAAAACGAGGGGAGAGAACTCTAGCCTGGGAGTCAGCTGGACCCTCTTAAAGCCGGTCCTATTAGCTGGTCAGAATAAGAGATAGACTTGAGCTGGGTTCTAATTGAATTTTTATGATCCCAGCCTAGAGCTCACATGCTGAGGATGTTAATCACCAGGCTAGTGTTGCCTGTGTCTCCCTGTTCTTTCTCCTCTACAAGCCACACGACAAACCTGCAAAGATGTTTTCAATCCTGTTTTTATGATTGTGTACTGCACCTCACATAACAAGTACTCTTCACTTTAAAACAGACTACTCGTGTGTGGACATCTGTGTGTGTACAGATGCCCACAGACAGAGGCCATAGGTGGGCTTCCGGGTTCCCGGAGCCTGGTGTGGGTGCTGGGATCTGAATGCCAGGCCTCTGGTGAAGCAGCAGTCGTCCTCTTAACTGCTGAGCCCTCTCTTCAGCCTCTTTCATAGTTCCTTCGTGAGAGAAGCTATCAGAGCATTGAGCTTCCACTGGGCTAGCATTTATTCTTTCCTTTTTGGAGGGAAGTGGAACCCAGGGCTTTTCACATGCGAAGCGAGTGTTCTACCACTGAGCAGACCCAGCTTTTTATTTTATTTTAGTTTTTATTTTATTTTATTTTTGAAACAGGGTCTACCTGAATTATCCAGGCTGGTCTTGAACTTTTGATTCTCCTGCCTCGGCTCCCCATTATCTGGGATGACAGGATTGCTCCTGAGATATTCCCCCTGCTCAGTTTAGCCAAAGTTGTTTGTGAATACCCTCATACTCTACAGTGCCACTTCCTGTCTCACTTTTTCTTATTTTCCTCTAATTACCCGCCTTGGCCTATCTTTATGTTGATCTCAGCTGCTGGTCTCAGGCTGGGAATGTCCTTGGAAACTTGCCAGCATGTAGGAGGGTTTGGCAGGAACCCCACACCACCAGCCTCGCTATACCTGGGCTCCTCCAGGAGAGGTGTACAGCATCCATGGGATCACTCGGTCTTCCTAGGATGGCTTTGTTAAAAGTGAAGCCAGATGTGTTTTATAGTAACTGGCTTGAAAACAAAAGTGCCTTTTGCTGCTTTAGGGTGTGTAGTGGGAAGCTAGTTTCCTAATCTTTCCTGGGCACTCTTCTCTAGTCCTGCCATGTCCACACCCCATGTTTCCCCTGCCCATCCATCCCCTTGTCCCCTGTGCCCATTGTATGCAGTGGGACACTGCATGCTGGGCAGCCATAAAGCCAGAGCATATATAGGTGTCCAGGCTGAGTTACACAAAGCACTTTAAGTCAAGCTGGAGTGGTAAGTCCTTCTCCACACAGGAGCCCTGCCTGGGGTGAGTGATTCATTGGAATTCATTCAGGACAAAGGAGGATTCCAGGATCCAGAGTGATAAGGTGACAAATACTATCTGTCTCCCATGGGAGCTTATCATTCATGCCTCTAGCCTGCTGGAAGACTGTAGGAAGCTTGCTGGCTGAGGGAGGGGCATGGGTTCAGGGTCCAAGCCACATTCTGCATCCAAACAAGCAGGTGGCACTGGCTTGTGCTGACCTGAAGAGTGGTCTGTGCCCATAACAGGACTCCCCTGCCACTGAGAAGAAAGCATTGTCAATTTACCTTCAGGTATTTACTTACTCTGTAAAAAATGTGTGTAGATGTTTTGTACAGAGCCCTGTATGAAATAAACGACCTTACGTGATTCCTAATCACTTGTCTTTACATCACTACTGCTTGCCTGGATATGGACCTGGTGAGTCTCCGATACTTGGGGCCTGCGGTCTGTAGACTTGTCAACCTTGCCTGGCAGCACAGTGATCCTTTCCAGTTTCGTTTCACACACAGGTGTAATCGATTTAGGGCAAAAGTCCTGGTTCTAGCAGCCAGCGAGGGCTAAGCTAGCTACTCCCCTAGCTTGATACCCAACTTAAGACATAAGTAGTGGAAGCAATTTAGTCAGCACATGGAGCAAAGGGCCAGTGATCTCAAGTCATCTTTGGGGTTTATGACAAGGGCATATTCTGCCTCCAGCCTTTCAAGGAAAGCTAGATTAGGTGGGCAGACAGGTGGTTAACATGGCCAAGCAGAGGCAAACCAGAGACTGACCCAAAATCAAGGCTCAGACTTCAGGCTCTCGTCCATCCTTTAGTCTCTGTGGGTACAGTAAGGGTTTTTAGCAAAGGTGGGGTTTTTCCCCCCCCCCACCTTCTTTTGTTTTCCAGTTATGTGTATATGATTGATTGCAGGTATCCTTAGAGGTCAGAAGATGGGAGTTACAGATGTGAGAAACTGAACTCGGGTCCTCTTGGAAGAGAATTATATTCTCCCAACCACTGAGTTGTCTCTTCAGCCCCAGCAAATATGTTTTCTAAGTACCAGTCATACAGGAAGTGTGGGCTTCATATTGTACCTTCTGTGGACACCATCACAGCTAGGTGACAGGTACAGGACGTGCCTAGGGTGCTCTAGCCTTTTTTGCTTTGCAGGCTTTCAGCTCAGAAGACTAGCACTTGGATTCAGACCCTAACTGAGCCTGTTGTGAATGGAAAACCAGCCCAGCATGACTAGTTTCTGTCTACTGAGGAACACATGAGAGCTGCCTCACTCAGCGTCTAGCCTAGCTGGTTCTCAACCTGTCTGTCATGACCCCTTTGGCAAAGCCCTATCTCCAAAAATATTGATTCATAACAGCAAAAATTACAGTTATGAAGTAGCAATAAAATAATGTTATGGATGGAGGTCACCACACCATGACGAATAGTATTAAAGGGTCACAGCATTGGGAATGTTGAGAACCACTGGTCTAGCCACTGAACAGCTCTACTCCTGGCAGTAAGAGTGTGCAGTAGCTGGGCCCCTACTTTCCTGCCTCTGCAGAGGAGCCAGCCAGAAGGCTGGAGCTGGTGCTGGGTAGGCATTTGTTGATCTTTGCTCTACAATAGGCCACCAGCCTGTGATGCACTTTGACATGGCAACTGTGAACCTCAAAGGACCAGCAGGGACAGAGCTCAAGAAGGCTAAAGAGCAGTCTGAGTAGCAAAAGTCCTAAGCAGCTGAGGACATGTGGACCAAACACAAAGGACAAGTGGGATTTTGTTACCTGGGTAATGAAGGGAGGGCACATGTATAACAAGTCTTGGTCAGGCCAAGCTTGGTGCACGTCTGTTTTCCCAATACCATGAAGGCCAAGGCAGGAAAAGAGATTGTCATGAGTTCAAGGATAACCTGGGCTACATAGACCTTATATCTAAAATCAAAGCAATTCTTCACTGTCCAGGTTCCTTTCTGACCTGCTATGAGTCCATCCAGGGCTACATACTCCAGGGGCTGGAAAACACTCACCCTGGAAAAGCTACATGCCCTAGCATCTGGAGTGAGGCCTTGGCTACAAGTGCTGGGCTTACTGTTAAGGATCATGTTGTGGGAAGACAGTAATAATCTCAGAAGGCGCTGGATGAGCCAGAGTGGAGTGAACCCACCAGAACAGCCACCACAGTTTGACTTTTCCATCTCACCTCGGCAGTTAAAGCAGAATGGACCTCCCCCCTGCTTGGTTTCAGCAGTTTCAGAAACTCCTCTGCTCTTCTTCTTAGATACCCAGAGGGGGAGCAGTCAAGCCTTTCTTCCAGCCTCCAGCTGCTGCCTTGGCCTCCCTCCCTAGCATCTCTCTAAGCTTCAAGCCCTTCTTGATAAATTTCACCAGTCTGGGCTAACACTGCCCAAGCAACCTTGTCCCAGGAGTGGAGCATGGTGGTGCTAGGTCTGCTACATGAGTTCCAGAGCTGAGCCAGCCTTATTCCCCCCAAACCACCAGAACCAACAGATCAACTCCAGGTTCTGTTCCAAGCTCTCCAGAGCTCACTATCCTGTCTGTGTGGTACCCAGCCTAGGATGTTTGTTCCCTCAAGCATGACACATTTCCCATCCTGGAAAATCACTTTAATTCACTTAAAGAGGGGGATGCAGAGCTGGACCCCATGGGCTGTTTCCTGACCTACCAATCTCCCTGGGTCCTGGATGGATTCACATCAGCTTTAAGAAGTTCCTAGAAAGTCAGCAAGGCAAAGGATGAGGCTGTGGGTCTTCAGAGAGCAAGCTGAGGTAAAACCGTCACTCAGAGGCTCAGAGCACTAGCCAGCCAGGCCTTAGGCCACGGCTGTGTTTAATTAAGGCTGGTGGCTAGTCAGGGTAGGGTATCTAGCTCAGGCCCATGAGGTTTGGTCAGCAACCCCTTGAAGCAACAGAGGCAGTGCAACTGACATCAGCTCAGCTGGGTTCTTGTAACACAGCAATCAGACTGCAGTACAGCTCGTGCTTTCTCCCTTGCCAAGCTTAAAGGTATAATGGTCAAACCAGAGCTAAAGCCCCTGGCCTAACCCTGCTGTTCACTGTTACACATGTGGGGCTGGGTCAGTATGAGAGCCACCACCTTCGACTTAGTGGCAGTTTTGACAGCTAGGGTGGCATGGAATTCCATTAACCCGGCAGCGGCAGCCACCACTGGTGTCCCCTGGGCCCTAAAGGATAGAGAAAAGAGGTTATCAGGTTGGTAAAAACAGGCTATCCCCAAGAGTCACTTTATCAGCCCAAAGGCAGAGCCCATCTAAAGGTGTAGTGAGGTTACCAAAAGCCCACCTGCAAAGAACAGCCTCAGCAACCTCAGGGAGCAGCCATGAAGCCATGAAGGCCTTTTAACCCCACCTCAACCTCTCTAGCACCCTTAAACTCCATGGTCTTCTCCTCCAGGCCAGAGAGAGAAGGGGACCCAGCTGCAGGTGGACCAGCATGTGGGCAGAAGGAAGAAGTACAGTTCCCTCTGCACCACTAGCCCCTACATCCACCAGTAGTGATGCCAGCTCTGACACCAGCAACACAGCAGCAATACTGACTGTCACCACTCACATGGCACTCACATCCTGTGACATGCACCCACAGAGCACTTCTCTACTACTTTGTTTCTGACAATCCGAGACAGGCCCTGGCAAAGATGTGCCAGAGGGAGGGACTGGCAAGCCTCCGTCCAACTCCAGACTGACCCTGACTTGTTCCTTGCTGCACAAGCCAGGCCAAAGCCTGACAGGCCTTGAGCCCTCCGCATAAGCACAGAGGCAGGAAGCAAGAGCACGGGGTTGGTGGCTCCAGGACTATTTACTGTCTCTCTCTACACTTCTAAACAGTAGCCTTTGATAACCTTTTAAACACTGTTAAGATGTAAAAAAATTCTTAACCCTTAAGCCCAGCAAGGTGACACATGGTACTATAATCTCCAGCACTCAGAAGGGTGAGACAGGAGGACTGCCACAAATCCCCAGACAACCCAGGCTACAGAGTGTGAGGCAGTATTTAAAAAAAAAAAAAAAAAAAGAAGAGAAAGAAAATCACACAGGTGGTAGTGACATGTGACTTTAAACCCAGCCCTTAGGAGGCAGAGGCAGGTGGAGCTCTGCATTTACAGCCAGCCTGGTCTGTCCTAGGACAGCCAGCCTGGTCTGTCCTAGGACAGCCAGGGCTACACAGAGAAACACTGTCTCAAAAAATAAAAATAAAATCTTCCCTGATCATGTGTGCACTCTTGCACTCTTGCTCCCACCCCCCATGCACATACAGGTGCACAAATAAAAAACAAAATTAAGCCAGTCAATGCTGGCACACACCTTTTATCCCAGTACTTTGGGGGTAGAGGCAGATGGCTATCGTATTTGGTGGATAGCCTGGTCTACAGAGGGATTTCCAAGTTAGTCAGGTCTACATTATGAGACCCTGACTCGAAATTAAATAATAAAATAACTATCTTTCCTCTTGAGCTGTACAGGTAGGCTGGACTGAGTTCATAGCTGAAGTTTTGAGTCCCCCTCCAGTAAGGACACCCTTCAGCTCTCCAGTACCCAGACTCACCCCAGGGCCCCAGCGTGGCCCCTTGGTGACCCAGCAGATCTCAGTGTGGCAGACAGTACAGCGGATCCAGTCACAGCCATCCTTCTTCTGCACCACAATCCGGCACTGTGGGCAGTGCATGGCCTCGCCTTGCTGCAGCATCACCTGGGAAGGGGAGCTATTGAGGCCCTGGCCTTGCCCTCTGCAGTGTATTCTCCCTCAGAGCCTAGCAGGGCTAGCCACCACTCTGTTACTGAGGGCTCCGCAACCCAGACTCTTCCTTCTGTTCCACACATAACACCATACTGGAAGACACGCCCTGAAATGGAGGTTTGACCAGGAGGAAGACTGGGCCTTCAAGAACATGTGACCTTAGTCCTTCCTAAAAAGCATCTAGAACATAAGTCCCCAGGCCCGTGCTAAGACTGTGCCTTACCCTCAGCATCTCTGTTGTCTGCCGGGCAGCCACGTCATTCTGAGCCCGTAGGGTCAAGTCATCCTGGTACTCCCTGCAATTCATGCCCTCATGGATGGCCTGGAGGGCAAGAAGCGCTGAGTGAGACATTCCCCAGGGCCTTAAGCTGTGAGGGGCAGAAGAGGCCCAACCCCAGCAATGGGCGCCATCAGTGAAGCCCTCACTTAAAAAGCTTATACCCATTTTACAGAAGACACAGGGTTCAGGAGGAGGGAGCCAGGACCATCAGTAGGAGCCTAATATAAATCCTATTTTAGGTGCTGATGGGTATTGTAACCCCTAAAGCAGCTCTCCCCTAGGCTCAGACTGTAGCCCCTGCCACAGCCAGTCATAGCAAGACCCAGCTAGATGGTCCCTGTCTCACCTTGCAGAGCAGACAGTTGACACGGGTGCACACAGGGCAGGTGAACTCGTTGACATCATCCTCAAAGAAGCACCAGCCCCTGCAGTCAGGAGTCTTGCAGTGGTAGCTCAAGGTGCTTCGGTTCTCTGCGATGGACACACCCAGGTCCAGGAAACGCTGGTAGTCCTCAGGGGACAGGAGCTGCACAGACACAGCTTTGTTGCTGGGGTTCAGGACACCCAGCAGATTCCCTCCTCCTATCAAATGGTCCCAGGAAACCCAGCACTTCAACCCTGTCCCAAGTGCCTCTGCCCTGACCTGTGCTGTTTTTTTGGGGGGGGGGTGGGGGAGTGGGGTTGGGGCAGGGTTTCATGTAATAAAGTCTGGCCTTGAACTCCTGAAGTGTCTCTACTTCCCAAGGGCTGGCCTTACAGGTGAGCTACATGACTCAAGCTCTGTTCTTCACAGAGCCCCTCGAGTACTCAAAACCTCCACCCAGAGTGTTTAGACAGCACAAACCTACCATCCTAGCACCTGAGAGGCTGTGGCCGGAAGTGGGCAAAGCTGACAGTACACAGTCATGATGGCTATAAAGCTAGGTGACAGTGTCTCAAAGTTACACACCTAAGGACTTAACTGTGGACAAACAGCCAAGAGGTCACATTTTATGAGGAAAATATGGGACACAAGTGATGGGGGGACAAAGGTTCAACTCCTATCCTATCTGGAAGTCATTAAACCCCAAGGCTGAGACAGAAGGATCATTGAGAGTTCAAGGTCAGCCTGTACTATAGAGAGAGCAAGACCTGTCTCAAAGGCAAGTCAGTATCCAGGCACACTGCACTCTGCAAACAATGTGGCAGAACCCTAGACTTGACCATCCTCTACTCCACACAGAAACAGCACTAGGGAGCTGCACCTCCTGGCAGGGCTAAGCTGAGGTGAGGCAGAGAAGGCATGCCAGAGAGCTGAAATGCTCTGTAAAGGATCACAGGCAAATGGCAAAGCTAGTCAGTGAGAGAATCAGGCCTCTGTTCTGTGTCTTAGCTGGGTGGTGCTTATGGAAGTTACACGTGCCAAAACTCACATACCTGTACACCTGTAAGATATACACTCTGTCTTGTGTGAGATGTTTACCTCAAAAACCTCAAAATTCCAGCCTGGGACCAGTGAAACGGCACAGCAGGCAAGAGTGCTTGCTGTCAAACCTGCCGACCTCAATTTGAACTCTGAGAAGCACAAGGTTGAAAAGACAGAACTGACTCTGGCTAATTGTCCTCTGAACTCCATACACTCTGTGTGTGGCACACACTTGATACATACACAAATAAATGTAACTAAAAAAGAAACATGGGGTGGGGGGCAGTAGTACATCTTTAATCCTGCACTTAGGAGGCAGTGTCAAGTGATCTCTGTGAGTTAAGCCAGTCAAGACGGTTACATAGTGAGACCCTGTCTCAAAACAACCACAACAAAAGTCATGTGCCAAGAAAGAGGGAAACAGGACAAAATACTACCAGAGGATGCCAGGATGTCCAGGGCTCACAGAGTTGGGGGTAGTTATTCTCTTTTATTTCTATTCTCTGCCATTTATTAAAAGCACCACCACCAGACCACTCTACTGACACCTGCTTCCTCTTGCTGCCACACCTGAGGCTTGAGTCAGGGCCTGAGGACGTCTAGGGTGTCCTGCATGCAGTTCCTTATATAAATATGGCCTTTGGCAGGGTGGCCTTCTTGGGAAACTAAGCCAGTGACAAGGGCCAGTGTACAGGTCTCTCCAGATCATAATCAGGATACTTCAGCAATGCCCAGGAACTGATCCACTCAGAAGCCCCCCAACAAGGTTAAAACACAGCTGCTTTGAATATAGAATTGAAATTCCCCAAGTGTTACTCTCTCAGATCTCCTTCCCACCTCAGAAGAGCCCCTTGGGCTAGAGAATCATCTCATAATATTTTGGGGGACTTTAGAAGAAGTCAGAAGACGCGAGTGATGGGATGCATGCATGGGGTCTCCCATCTGGACCCTGGCCACTGCAATCCTGCTTACGTCTATGGTAAAACTCAGGTGCTGGCGCTTGCTAAGCTGTATTCTACCTACTTGCCCTTAGCTTTGTAAAACACCCTTGCTAGCTAGTTCAAGCTGGCCTCAAGTTTTTTATCCTGATGTTTCAGCAGTGCTGAGGTGACAGGGTGTACTGTCATAACAACCCTTGAATGACCATATTACCACAGATGTCACCCAAATTGATCCCTACAGGGAATCTGGGCCTGAGCATGTAATCTGCACTGATGAACAGGATTACAGCCAACCAGTCTTTGCACATTTACAGTTGTGACTGGCACACTGGAACCTCACTAACCGCTGCAAAGTGTTAGGCCCGTACAGCCTGCATGTGGAGGGGACTGACGTAGACGGTTATTCTAGACAAGACCATCATGAACCATCTCATCCCACTGAGCTGACAATCCGGGATCCAATTCCGAAACCCCAGCTCCACCCGGTGAAGCACTGCCTTACCACTCACAAACTACAGAGCCTCAGGGCGCCAGGCCTGGGGTGAGTGGCTATAAAGCAAAAGCAGCCGATACAGCAGCTGTACAAGCCTGCGCACTAGCAGATGCCACCTGTGGTTCTGACAGAGGACACGGGCAGAGAGAGGCTGAGTGCCTGACATGAGGTTACACAGCCACGCTGCAGCCGCAGCTCCCACCCACAGTAACCTGCCGTCCCTGCTGCACTGGGGAAGGAGCTAAAGCAGCTGAGGTTTCCTCGGGTCCCTCCACTGCCCTGCACAGGCCCCAGGTGCTCCAAACGGACTCCTGGGAAATGTCCACTGGGGGACGCAATAGCTCGTGTTTCTGAGCTGTGCCTATTGTGAGCTCAGGGCCACCTCCCAGGATCAGAATGCCTTTCCTCCCACAGCCTTACCGCCCGGATCTCCCTCTCCAGTAGCTTGCCAGGGCATGAGTAAGTGCTGTCAATGAAGGGGCAGGATACCTCCGCCTCCTGGCTGTTTCGGATGGTGCCCTGCAGGCACTCCCTGGGAAGGGGAGGGTGGCAGTTAGGTTCATTTCAACCTCCATAGGGACTTCGGCCCTCAGACGGGAGGGCCTGATCCCAGGGCCCACCCTTTCCATCCCTCTCAACCCACCACAAAGGCCCCCACTTCTATTCACCCCACCATCCCTGTTGCTCTGGTCTGAGGCATTGGCATCCCTGCCCAAGTGACTGCAGTAACCTCCTCCTTGGTCTCTGTCTCTACCCAGTCCAAGTGCCACTGCTCAGCACTGCAGCAGATCCGCCAAAAGGGGACCAGATCAACTGCTGCTCAGAGCTTGTCACCTGCACAGGCACAACTATCCTGTCCCACCACAGCCACCGTCCCTGTGCTCCCTGGTCTCTTCAGACAGTTTTCCAGCCTCTGCTCCAGCATGACTTCCTTCGTGGTTTCTTCCCAGCAAGGCTCACAACCTAGTTACTTAGCATGTGGCCGCATAGACATTAACACAGACCCCTCACTGGAAGCAAGCTAGCACTCCACCAGGGTCCACTATGGTGAACAAACTTCTCCCAGCTCAAGGGTAGAAGGGCTACACAGGAGACCCAAGGGAAAGAATACATAGAGGACAGAATGCTGTGGGCTCTTAGGCAGTGACAGGTAGTGAGGCAGGCAGTGGCTCTGGAGTTAGGACCAACACCTGTCTCATTTCTGAGCTCCCTGCAAGCTGTGTGGCCTTGGCCATGGATGCTTGGATTCTCTGTGCCTATTCCTTTCTTTTTTCTTTCTGGATTTTAGAGACAAGGTCTCAAGCAGCCCTGGCTGGCCTTGAACTCACTACACAGCCGAAGCTAGTCTTGAACTTCTGATCCTCTTGCCTCCACCTCCTGAGTGCTGGGATTTCAGGCATAAGCCACAATACCTCTTGCATAAACGAGGTTTTTGTGGGCATCCAATGAGAGGAACAAGGCCACACACACTTTACTCTGGTAACACTGTTGCTGGGTGGGAGTGGGGCCGCACCTGCAGAAGGTGTGCAGACACTCACGAAGCACCACGGCCTCGCCGGGTGCCAGCACTGAGTAGCACACAGGGCACTCAGCAGGTTCGGTGTTCAGCACCAGGCTCCTCTGCTCCAGCTGCACGTGCTGCAGGTAGTTCCCCTCCTGCTGCTGCTGTTTCCGCTGGGCACATGGGCAGGGCGGGGCCACCAGGTGGGTCAGGGTCTCAGTTGGTCAGATAAGAAGTGGGACAGGGCTGGGGTAGGCTGGGGGCACCAAGGTAGTGGTGGGCTGGGAACGTGGGCAGGCCAAGAGGGCCGGGAGGGCTACAGCAGAGTAAAAAGCCAGATGAGGGGACAAGGATGGTAGAGAAAGACAAGGTTCAGGGTACAAAAGGGAGTGGGGGGGGTCCACAGGGCTCCAACTCTGGAGGGCAGGGCAGTGCTGAAGAAGTGGTACAAGGAGGGTCACGGCTGGGGGCAGACTGAGGCCGCACAATGTTTGCTAGGTGTGGGGTCATGGTCAAGGTGAGGCAGGCTACGCTGAATCCAAGGGAACAACAGAGGGGAGGAGCATGCTCTTGGAGGGGGAGCACCAGAGTGAGGTGTCTATGGAATCAGTGTGTATGATGGGAACTGACTGCTCTAGGGATATGAGGGTGGACAGAGTCACTCCCAAGAAGCACAGGAAGGGAGTCCATGCAAGAGGAAGAGACAGGAGGTGGAGTATGTACGTAACAGGAGCCGGGCTGAGGCTCTGACTGAGGTATAGTAGAGTTAGGGTCACAGATGAAGTACAGTCGGCATAGCCAGGGATGTTTATATACATGGGGGGAGGGGGTGTCAAAGCGAGGGCGCAGAGCAAGTGAAGAGCCTAGCTGTGCATCAGGACCAGAGAATGAGCATCAGCCAGAGAATTGGCCTCAGGGACAGGCAGCTCTCAGTCAAGGTCAAGGTTATGGCTCAGCAGTGTGGTCACAAGGTGAGTGGCAATGGCCAGGGGCACAGCAGTATGCAGGTGGTTCCCTTTCTGGCTTAGGCCTTCCTCACACAGCCTGCAGGTGTCTGTCCCTGGACCTGTGTGCCTACCTGCTGGTACTGGCGCAGCGCCTCCTCCTCACCAGCCAGGCGTGCTCGCTCTTCCTCGTCAGGCTGGTATGAGGCAGGTATCTGGTAGGTCTCAGGCCTTGCACGACAGCACATCTCACAGCCAGGCCGAGTGGGTTTGTTGATGAAAGTGCAGCCAGGGCACTGCCAGCCCACCTAGGTGCAGATGGGCTGTGAGCTCAGCTGTTGAGCTTGCCAGGTAAGACAGGGGACAGGTGCCCATGTATTAAGGCAGCTTACCGGTGGTGACTCTGGTGCTGCATCTGGCTGCCCTGGCTCCTGGTGGGTCCTGGGCTTGGGAAGGACAGGCTCCAAGGGGCCCCGTGGCTGCAGGGTGAGGTCCTTGAAGCCCAAATCTGCAGAGGGAGTGTGTGGTATCCAGGTAACCACATGCTGAGCTGGCCAGGCACAACCCACATCAAGTCATCTCCCAACTCAACAACGTTTCTAGACCCCTCCCTAAGGGAAGTGCCCAGGACACCCCAAGCCTGAGGCTTCATTTTACCCCACCCATAACTACACCTTCATAAGCTCCGTCCCTTTTAAGAGGAGGAGCTACCAAACACTGACTCCATCATGCTGAAAGCCCACCAAGAAGAAAGAGGCCTGAACATCCCCAGTCAACATGATAACCAGGGATCCAAGGGGATCAGAGCTGGGAGGGACTGAGATGTGGCAGCTGAATGCCATATCTTTTGTCACCAAGGACACTGGTTGGACAACTGGCAAAACCCAAATGAGACTGACTGTACCGTGTCAATGTCAGACCAGAGAGAGGGCTCAGTGACTAAAGGTGCTTGCCACCACGCCTGACAACCTGAGTGTGAGCCCCTAGACCACACAGTGGAAAGAGAACTGTCTCCTGTAAGTTGTCCTCCTCCCTTCCCAGGTGCTCTGTGGCACATGCACAGCTACACACACACGCGCGCACACACACACAGACATGCATACATACACATACATATACACACACATACATACACATACATACATACATGCATACATACATGCATACATATATACATACACACAGAAAACAAGCAAACAAATAGATGATAGATGTAATCTTTAAATTATTTACTTACTTTGTGAGGGTTATTTTTTTTTTTTCCAAGACAGGGTTTCTGATACAGTTCTGGCTGCCCTGAACTCATTATGTAGACCAAGCTGGCCTCGAGCTCAGAGATCTGCCTGCCACTGCCTCCTAAGTGCTAGGATTAAAGCCATGTGCCACCATGTCCAGCCCAATAAATGTAATTTTTTTTAATAAAAAAAAAAAGAAAAAAGTCTATATTACATTGATGTTAATTTCCTGCTCTGGAGAGTTGTTCAGAGGAACACAAGAAAATGACCTTTCTTTTTAAGGAACTACACAGTATTCAGGGAAGAGAGAGCCTATGTACAGTTCCTTCTAAAATCACTCCTAACACTCTGCACCCAGAGGTAAAGCTTAAGAAGGAAAATGAACAAAAAACCAACACAAAACAGCAGCCAGGTGGCAGTAGCAGGGCCTTAGTCCCAGCACTCGGGAGGCAGAGGCAGGCGGCAGATCTCAGAGTTAAGAGGCACTTTGATCTACAGTGTGAGTTCTAGGACAACCAGGGCTACAGAGAAACCGTCTTGAAAAAACAAAACAGAGAAGGAAAATGTTTCTCTGTACAACTGTGCGACTTCTCTACAGGTCTAAAATACTGCAATAAAAGCAACCGTACTATACCTTAGTTACATCATCAACACACACAAATAGAAACACAGAAAACCGAGGGCCAGAAACAACAGTGAGCCTGCCTCAGCTCACACAGCTAGCAAATGCCAGGCCAGGACTACACAGCCCCTCCCTTCAGCCAGCCATGCTTGAGAGTTCTATGGAAAGCTCCCTCCCCCATCTGGTACCCTCATTCCCCGACAGGGCCCTCCAACACATCACTGACAGAGAAGATGTTACCTTCCAACATGCGCAGCTGCCGCTGCCGCTGCAGCTCTTGTGGGTTGAGTGATGTGTTGCGGGCTGACAGTAGGTACAGATAAGCACTGTCTCCATTCCGCCGAACGCCGTGTGAATGCAAGGTCTCCTGGTCTCGTGCCAGCCTCTGTCCGACCACCCACTGCTGCAGGCTGGGTGGGAAGCCATAGTCCAGGAATACCTTTGGGGGTGTGGTAGGGGTGGGGTTATAGTTTGAAAAGTAAAATATCTACCACTACACTCAACATTTGAACACTTGATCCCAGTTGGAGGCACTGTTTTCTGAAGCAGTTGAACTGTTCCTGGGGAGGCCTGGCTGCTGTAGGTGGGCCACTGAAAGCTGGCTTTGAAGGTCAGAGTTTACCCTGCTTTTGCCCCAGCTCTTTACTCCTTAGCTATATAAAAAACCACAACTGAGTAGCGGTGCACACCTTTAATCCCAGAACTCAAGAGGCAGAAGCACTTAGACTCTTTAAATTGAAGACCAGCCTGATCTACAAAGTAAGTTCCAGGCTACCCAGGGTTACTTAGTGAAATCCTATATTTACAAAATGGGGAGGGGGGGCTGGAGAGATGCCTAGTGATTCAGACTACTAGCTTTTGCTGAGGACCTGGGTTCAATTTCCAGCATGCACATGGTGCCTCACAGTCATCCACAACCCCAGTTCTAGAGGTTACAACGGGCACACACATGGAATAACATGAACATGCAGGCAAACATTCCTACACATAAAGTAAAAAGTAACTCTAAAGAATGTTTGGGGGGGGCAGTAAAAAAAACAAAACAAAACCCACAGCTGCGAGTTCCTGAGTCCTAGATGGAGTCTCTCAAGCACAGCCCTTGCCACTGTGATGCACTGTGTCCTCTGGACTGTAAGCCAAAATGAGCCTCTCCTCAGGTTGCTTCTGTCAGGCACTTGACCCCAGCAACAGACAATATGGTGTGGGGGAAGCAGAGACAATGGGGAAGGCCAGAGGGAACCCCACCTCCCTCCAGCTCTTCACTTACCATGTCCTTAAGGGAGGCCACTGTCATATCCGGGCGTACTGTGAGCCAAATGGTGACGGTGTGCATGTAAGCGTCCTCCACACTAACACAAAGCCTGTGGAAAACAAGGGGAGACAAGGACTGGGGCTGCCAGCGTGGGAATGTTCAAGTCTGCACATGTGCAGATGCTACCTGCTGGTTAGATTTTTGTCAACATATATAAGTAAAGAAAGTATAGACAGTATAGAAAAGAAAGTATCAATTGAAAAAAATGTCTCCATCAAATTGACCTGTAGGCAAGCCTGTGGGACATTTTCTATCCTTTATAAAAATTAAATTTGTACAAGATTTATCTTATTTCATGTGTTTGAGTGACTGCCTGCATATACGTATCATATCTACACCACTTGCACTCCTGGAGCCTGTGCAAGTCAAAAAGGATGTCAGACTCCCAAGAGTGGTGAGCCACCATGTGGGTGCTGAGAACCAAACCTGGGTCTTCAAGCACTCTTAACTGTTGAGTCAAACCTTCAGCTAGGCTGAGGGCAGTGCCGCCTCTGAGCAGATGGTCCTGGGTTGTATTAAAAAGCAATCTGAGCAGGCCTGGGAGAGCATAAGCAGCATCCTCCAGACTCTGCTTCAGTTCCTGCCTCCGGGTTCCTGCTTGAGTTCCTGACCTGACTTCCCTCAGTGATGGAGTATAAGCTGGAATACAGAAGCCAGACTCTTTCTTCCCCAAGGTGCTTCTGCTCATGGTGTTTATTACAATAGAAAGCAAACCAGAACAACCTGCATGGACAGCCCACACTGGGGAGAACCTCTCTGGATCTCCACCCAACAGGAAGCACTGCCTAAGCCCTTCACTGGCTCACATTAGTTGGAGGGCATAAGGAACAGCAGTACTGGGGATTAGACACAGGGCCTTGTGCTAGGTGAGTATTCTACAGCTGAGCTGTGTCCCAGCCCTTTATTTTTCATGTATTTTATGTATATGAGTACACTGTAACTGTCTTCAGGCACACCGGAAGGAGGCATCAGACCCCATTACAGATAGTTCTGAGCCACTGTGTGGTTGCTGAGAATTGAACTCAGGACCTCAGGAAGAGCAGTCAGTGCTCTTAACCACTGAGCCAACTCTCCAACCCAAAAGTTTTTGTTGTTTGTTGTTTGTTATATATTTTCTAGCCCTTTATTTTTATTTTGAGACAGGCAGGCTTTGAACTTGTCATTTATCGGTTTCAGTCTCCTAAGAAGCTGTCGACAAGCCGGGCAAATTCTTTTGTAGGGGAAAGGAAGATTCTTTTGGTTTTGTTTTGTTTGAAACAGGGTTTCATGTAACTCCCTACTAAGCTGAAAATGCCCTTGAATTTCTTTTTTCTTCTTCTTCTTTTTTTTTTTTGGTTTTTCGAGACAGGGTTTCTCTTGTAGCCCTGGCTGTCCTGGAACTCACTCTGTAGACCAGGCTGGGCTCGAACTCAGAGATCCGCCTGCCTCTGCCTCCCTGGGATTAAAGGCGTGCGCCACCACTGCCCAGCTTGAATTTCTGATCCTCTCTTCCAATGTCTAAGTGTTGGGATTATGGTCTGCCCTGGCTGCATCTGTTCCTCTCTTCTGCCAAACAAGCAACATCTGATGTTGAACACACACCCGATGCTAGTCACTTAATCCTTTCTAGCTGCCTGAGGCAGGCCCTGACATATTCTTTTCCAGATACAAACATACTGCAGAAGCAATCAGTAACTGTCACAGCGACTCAAGGCCAAACTATCATTCCAGAGAGCCTCACGCATGTCAGGCAATCACTCTACCATCGAGGCCACGCGTTCTTACTCTAGTATATAAGCATCAGTTTTCTCAGAGATCTATATTGACAAGTTTGGTACTTTGTGCCTGTAATTCCAATACTCCCAATATAAAACTGTCTTGAGTTGAAAGGCTAAACATGGCTACATAGTGATGTATAGGCCAACTTGGATTTTACAGAGTAAGGCTTGGATTCTAAAACCAAGAAGTAAATTAAAAAATTAAAATAACGGTTGAAAAGATGGCTCAGTGGGCGAAAACACTCGCTGTGCAAGCTGAGCTCCAGATCCTGTGGTGGGAAGGAGAGAACTGTCTCCTCAAAGTTGTTCTGACTTCAGAAGAAACCCCATCCTTGCTTCTAGCAGCACAGACACTAAGTCTGGAGGATCTGCATGGCCCCTGTGCAAGAGGACACCTATTGTGCAGGGTCCCCTTAAAAAAAAAAAAGAACAAATGAACCCCAGCACAGCCTACTCCATAGCTCACAACAGATTAGTGAGCCACTAGGCTTTGAAGCTCAATATCCTACAAGAGAACCTGGCAGTGAGGCCCTGGGTTTGATCCCCAGCACTGCAGGGGAAAAAACAGATAACCTGTCCACAGACGTTCAAGAAGCCTCCAGTCCCCTTTAATGCGAGACACACTCACCTGATGTCCTGTGTTGGGGAGACCTCAGGTTTTACTTGCACCCTGAGGGGCACCCTCTGCTCTGCCAGCCAGGTGGCATACTTGATAGCAGCCTGTTCATCTCCACCAGCCACTGCCCGGGCAAGACTCAGGGCCATCTCCTCTGCTGAAGGTCAGCAGAGAGCAAGCAGGTTAGCACCAGTTTATTTGGGGAGGGTGGAGAGGTGACCCTTGGTGCATGCTTTGTCCTGCTCCCCTAGTGAGTAACTGTATCTTCTGCACATGGTTATTTCAAAAGTTCTTTTTTTTTTTTTGAAGGGGGTGGGTGTGCTTTTTCGGTCCTCACTCCTCTGTACCCTGGGCTCATGGAATACCCTTTTCTCTTCATGCTCACAGAGTCCTCCACACTTCCACTCATTTATCTGACAAGCATTTCTTGAACTCTCCTGTATGCCACCCACTATTCCAGAAAGTAAACTTTTTAACAGTGGTTAAGACGAAGAGCGTCCTGCTCCTTATAAACCTCTAAGTTCAACAAGAAAATAGAAAGTTTAAAGCTTGAAAAGAAAATCAGACTGTGGTCCATTCTAGCAATAACTGAGTAAGAAGGTCAGGGGAGACCTCTAGGAGGTAAGGGAAAACAGAGGCCTGAAGGAGGAGCTGCTGGACATTCCAATATCCAATAAGGGAGATTGTTCCAAGAGGCCAGAAAGTGGACAAAGGCCTTGGAAGAAGTGGTTGGATCAAAACTGAAAAGTCATGGACTAGAGGCATTTCTCAATAACTGAGCATTTGTCTAGCATGCATGAAGACCAGGGTTCAATCCCCAGTAGTAGACAGAACAGAAGAGGCTGGTGGGAATTGGGTGCAAATAAATAAATAAATAAATAAATAAAATAAAAAAATAGAAGAGGTCATTAAAGGTGATCCAGAGCTCTGGGCTTGGTTTTATTAAGAGGACTGGGTTTCCAGCAAACAGAACAGTAACATTATCGGAGTTCTCCCAATCTGGGTGGAAGGACCAGGGAGAGAGGTATGTATGTTCCCTCTCAGTCCTACTCTAGTCAACTTAAGTTTGTTTTCCTAACAACCAGGAGCTCTCCAGGTTCCATGCTCTGTGTTCACATAGTCTCCGACCCCTATTTCTGCACTGACTAGGCCTAGGGACCACTTCCACCAGCTCCAATCGGTGCCCACCTTTCTTGGTCTTCTCGTCCATTTGGCCTGGCTGCGCCCATCCCCTCAGAAAGGGCTGCTGCTTCCGGGAAACGTTACTTTGGGGTAACCTGAGAGAGAGCGGGAGGGTAGAAGCGACTCAGCCCTAGCCGGCCTCTTGCGTGTGTCCCGGTCTACACTCGGGCAGAATCACACTGCCCAGGGCCCAAGGCCCGGCATTGGGAACCAATGGAACCGCCGCGAGAGGCACAGAAAGCGAAGGAGGCCCCGGGCCAAGCCCGCAAAGAGCGATGGGTAACCACGACCCAAAAGCGAGGAAAGAAGGGAAGCCGGCCAGCCGGCGCGGGCGCCCCAGCGTCCGGAACCCCAGCCCGGAGGCTCGCACTACCCGGAAGACAGCGCGGGCAGCGTCCCCGGAAGAGAAAGTGAAAGTGGCAGTCCCGGAAGTGCTGCAGACGGAACGGAAAATTGTCCCCTCACCCGAGTCTGTGCAAGGTCACCAGCTAGGGCAGGCCTCTGAACTGCACTCACGCTCCACCACATGGTCTGGCGGACCAGAGACACTTGTTCTAAGTGCCCGCCATCTGCCCTTAGCCGACCAAGCAGCTCCTAGCTCGGGGGAGGGGGGGGCGCTACCTAGAGGGCGGGGCCTGGAGGCGGGGCCTAGAGGGCGAGGTATAGGATTGGCTTCTCAGCGCCCTCTGTTCTCAATGGCTTGCACCCCTTGGGAGCTGTCCTTGCTTGCGTCGCGTTCACTGTGCGTAGCCTGCAGGCTCACCAAGTCGCCAACACACCAATAGGTAGCCCCAGTTCTTGACCTTTTTTGCACTTGAGGAAACAGAGAGTTTGAATGTTTATGACTTGTCTAAAGCCACATTGACGGAGTTTGAATCCAAATGTAGCAGTCTCCGGAACCCACCTTGGCAGCCCGAAGACTTGTCTTTACGTGTTCACTACTCTTCTATTTGCCTAGCAAAGGCTGGGAATTCTTTTCAGCCTCCACTCATTTTACATTTTCTCCCACTTTCATCCCACAGATTAGCAGATACACTGGCCCCCACCTGCAGAATAGATAACAGAAATGCATCTTCTCCTGGGCACAGACTTAATCCTGCCCGTCCTTCTGTTTCCCCTCAACTGCCCTAGAGGCTCCTGTTAAAATACAGGTAAAGAGGCATGGGAGGCAGCTCAATGGGTTAAATACTTGCTTGCTGTACATGCATGAGGACCTGAGTTCAATATTCAGTGGCGCCGGGTGGTGGGAGCTTGTAACCACCTCTGAGGAGGCAAACAGGAAGATCTCTGGGTTTCCCTAGACAACCAGGATAGCCTAATCAGTAAGGTTCCGGCAGAGACCCGTCTCAATAAGGTGGGTGGTGCCCTACAGGAACATGGGAGTACTTCTTCGAGCGCGCGCGCACACACACACACACACACACACACACACACACACGGAAAACTTGCTTGGAACCTTTCCAAACCTGCTTCCACCTTTGCCTGCATTCTTCACTATCTCCCTCCCCTTGGTTCACTACACACTGAAGCACTGGTTCTTGAATCCTTGAATTCCTCTGCTAAGTTTGGGAGCTTCTGTTTTATAATTTTCCAGCCCAGTGGGAATGTCTGTAAATCCCAGCACTTGTAAATTGGAGGCAGGACACTTGGCTACGTGAGTCTCTGAAGAGACCGGGGAGGAGGAACAACGGAGGTGGAAGGCTGTGAAGGAATGGAGGGAGGGATGGAGGGATGAATGAATTTCCACCTGGGATCTTCTGGTAACAAATATTCTTGGATTTTGACAGAAAAGATCATTGTTTATACTTCCAAAATTCTGAGATTATAGGCACAAGTATCACACTCAGATTGTTTTGTTCTTAAGATTGAGTCTCACTGTGTAGACTTACTTAGCCAAGTCTGAATTGTAGAGCAGGCTTGCCTCCAACCTGTGTGACCCTCCCACCTCTGCCTACTACGAACTGGAATTACAGGAGTTTACCACAGCTTTTTTGTTTTGCTTTGAAAACAACCTCTGCTTCTTTTCCTCTGAGTGCTTTTTAAAATGTTTTTAAACATTTTTTTAACACTTCACTCTGAAATGTCTGTATAAAATTTTATGGGGCTTCTTGAATCTGTAATATTTGATTTCTCCTTAATTTCCTGTGTCTAATCATTCTGTTTGACATGTTATTTGGAGTTTGACTTGTTTGTTCGTTTGTTTTGTTTTTTAATATTGAGATTCAACTTTGGTTGGACTGAAACTTAATATCTAGACTCGACTGGCCTCAAACTTGCAGTAACCCTTGCCTCTGCCTCCAAGTGCTGGGATTACAAGTGTGCCCTTTGGTAATAGTTGTATGTCTTTATTCTAAAATATCTGATAGATTATCTAGATCAGTGCCACTTAGTGAAATTTCCTTCTATTTTTGCAGTAGTTCCAAGCTTCAGTTTATCTGTTTACATGCAATAACACTTTGTCTGTGTGTGCCAGATGACAGGTAAACTCTGGGTGTGTGTGTCTGAGGATTTGCATTCTTACTGCCTTATTTTCTTCTGTGGACCATGTAGGTGTCTATAGTGGTGTTTCCATCATCCCTGACATCTGCAAAAATTAGCTGTGAAGGGAGGGGCAGATGCAGTCTTCATTTTTTTTCCTGACCTTATCCTTCTCCCTTTAGGGGACAAGCTGTTATTTTCTTTGGGCACTTTTCACCTAAGTAGGTAGACTCTAATATTCATTGAAACCCTAGTTCTCAATCAGGGTGACAGTGCCATGTCTGAGTAACTCTAAAAAAGAGGGTCCCTATCCCTGGGTCTCAATTTCTTCCTCTGTACACTGATAGTAATGACAGCTCCCTCTTAATAGCTATTGTAAGGATCTATATAAATGACCGGTTACTGATATATATCACATTCTATAACCCTAAAGTTAGAAGTACAGGGCATGGTGGCACACATTTGTACCCTCGGGACTTTGGAGGGAGAGGCAAGGAGATCACACAGACTCAGAGCCAATTTGAGATACTTCTCTCACACTGTCTCAAACACCCTAAAAACAAACGTTTCTGGGAGTCAGGAACAAAGAAAGGCTTCTTAGTGGTTCTGGCTTGACGCTGGGAATGAGTTTGACTGAGGCTACAGGTTGATTTGTAGGAAATCCCCCCACCTCACCCCACAGCACACGGTTCCCTCTGAGAGGTGCAGTACAGGTGACCTAGGAGAGGGAGGTAAATCCATCCTTATGAATGCTGGGTTGGCAAGCACCTACTGCTAAGCTGTATTCCCAGGCCAATCTCTATTCCTTTCCTTGCATCCTCCTTTCTTCTTTCCTCCTATTAATCCCCACACTGTGTTTTTAAAGACAGACTCTGTGCTAGAGCGATGGCTCAGAAGTTAAGAGGACTTACAGAAAAAGAATTCTGTTCCCAGCACCCACACGAGGTGACTCACAACTGCTTGTGACTCCAGTTCCAAAGGATCCCACTCCCTCTCTGGCCTCCATGGGTACCTTCACACACACATAAATAAAAATAAAGTATATCAGAAAAGATAGAAAGGAAGACAGAGTTTTACCATGCAGCCTCACCTGGCCTGGAACACACTATGTAGTTCAGTTAACCTCAAACTCATGGCAATCCTCCTGCCTCTCTCCATTGGAATCACAGGCATATAGCATCACATGTGGCTCCAATATACACATATATACACGGGTATATTTATATACCTATATTTTTATTATTAGCTACACATTTTCTGCTTCTCCCATCAAGAAGAAATCCACTTTTCTGCCTACCAAACTAAGCTGTGCGACAGTTTGTGTATCAGATTTGCCCTTTCTTGTTGTGTTTTGGAACCCAGAGACCACCACATGGCATGATGGCTGAGCCTCTGACGGATGCTGCAGGACTGGTCAGCAACTGGACAGAGCCTCTATAAGGTCTAGGCCACAGAATCTTTCAGTGCCTCATACTTCCTTCGGGCTATTGCCAGGGAGAAGCCATAGGACCATTCTGAGAGTGTGGGGAATGGTTAGGTAGACTTTCTGGAAGCTTCTCCAGAAAGAGCCTTGGAAACATCAACTAATGTTTCCTGCAAGGTAATGATGCCAGGTCCCCCTTGTTCTGAATGCTTTATTGGTGGTGGGAAGATGGCTGAGAGCTTAAAGCATTTAGATCCCAGATCCTACACAAATGCCTTGAAAGTGAGAGACAAGATCCCAGAGCAGCAGGCTGACTGACAAGACTAGCCATATCAGGGAGACCAGGGTTTGACTGAGAAACCCTTCTCAGCCAGGCAGTGGTGGCATATGCCTTTAATCCCAGCACTCAGGTGACAGAGGCAGGCAGATCTCTTAAGTTTGAAGCCAGCCTGGTTTACAGAGCGAGTTCCAGGACAGCCAGGACTACACAGAGAAACCCTGTCTTGGAACAAGAGGGAGGGAGAGAAGGGGAGAGAGAGGGAAAAGACCTTCTTTAAGGGAAAAGGTGGAGGAGGAAGAGTAATTAAGGATGATCCAATTTATCTCTCTCCATCTCTGGGTGCCCTCACGCATGCTCACATGAGCACATTCGCACACACGTGCACGCACTTGCACACACACATGATATGGAAAAGGAAAAAGGAACCCATAGGTGTCTTGTAGGTTGGGTCCTATTCTCTGCCTTTTCCAGATAAAGAGCCTGGGATATAGAATGGTTAAGAAACTTGCTGAGGGTCCATCCAACAACTGGTGTGTTCTGGAAAGATTATACTTGGGGAAAGACTGACTCTCAAGTGCTGGCTTCATAAGTGCTACAATGCCACTTTTCTTTGTGCAATGTGACATAAGTGCCAGCTGTCTCCATGGAGAAAAGCCAGGGACTGAAAGAGTCAAGAAAGCAGGCATTCTGACAACAGCTTGGAGAGCCAGACTTGACCTGTGTTGTGAGTCGACTCCTAGCCGAAAGTGGCTATCATCTTTACAGCCATCTCGAGCCATATACCCTGACAAGAGACTTGTTTTCAACAGCCCGCAACAGCTGAGCACACTCTGATAAACATCTTGTTTTTCTCATATATTTTGTTTTGCTGTTTAGAGCCGCCAGCAGCTAGATGCACGTGGTCTCCACACTGCTAGCTAGGCGCACGTGATATCCACGCTGCAAGGCACATGACGTAGTGCCTTCAGCTGTGCTTGTCCACGAGGGCAAGGCACGTGGTAAAGGGTATAAATACCCAGGATTTCCTTCCAATAAAGAGACTTGATCAGACTTCCTGTCTTGTTTCCATTCTTTGCATCTCTCGCCCTTCCATCTCCTCTCTCTTGCTAGACCCTGACCTGTGGACTGGAGCAGCAGAACGGGCCATTACAAAGTGGCCCCCGAACGTGGGGCAGAATGGGCAGTTACAGACCTGCCCTGCAACCACCCTGTTC